ACGTAAATTCGGTGTTAAACAACAAATATTTTGAACCTAGAACCCGTAAAAAATATCGTCCTTGAGAATCCAACAATTACATAAATGTGGTTTGAGGTGGGGTTTTAATTTCAAGTAGAAAATTGAAAAATGGTGAAACAACAACACGTCAATATATCTCGAAACCGTTTCCTCATTATTATGATTCTGTGAAATTAAACATAATAAATTCGGGTCCCGAAGGCGGCATAAATCACAAAAGCAACAATAATTTGGCCGGCCTTATAATAAAAATATTTATACTCGGTGAAACTGAGTGTTTCTGTTGAATGTTAAGAACCTGCTGCGGTTGGCGAGGTTATGACGCAACGTGATCGAGTATTTCACCTGGGGCGAGACGGCGTCCAAGTCCACCATGAAGAGGCCTTGCCCCAGGCCCCCGAAACTGCCCTATCACTAACAGGCCAACGAATTCCGCGCTGTGCTCCAGCGAAAAGTAAACAAATTCCATATGTGAAAACGTCGAAACAAGTTTATTGTCTTGGCTGCAGGGCCGGATCTAGATTTTTTCGGGTGAATTCGGTGCTGTTGACCTGAGACACGGTTTTGGCACGATTGATGCAACTTGATGCGAAAACATTACACATTCTTTTTTAACGAGAACGAGTTTTATTGCGGTTGCAATTACATTAACATTTTTTGTAATCTAATTACAGTGCAATGTAATTAGTTTACTCGTATTGGAATTTCAGCCCATCCCTGGTTGGAGTCCACGCAAGAAATTGTGATTCTGTGCGACGTGGAATTACATCACTGAATTTCGGAATTTTTTCGTTTCATTGTTCCGGGTCAATTTCGACTGGAATTTCGGTCATTTCAAACCGGCAATAAATCGCTATTTGTTGATAAATAAAATGAAGCGGTCATAAAAATTACAATAAATAAACCCGTTTGAGGAACATTTAAATAAATCACCGACGTGCAATATGCTTTTCAATTATGCTAGAAGTGAAATTCAAATTCAGCTAGAAAAATCCGAGGAATTTAGCTCTTGTTGGGACATGTCTCACATGGCATAATAAACTGGTATAAGCTGTCAAATGACTCCACTAAATAACCCAACGTCAGCTTTTCGATTTAAATATCTTAACTCGCTTGTGTTCGAATTTTTAAATTTAAATTTTTCGAATTTGATGTGTAAACAATCAACAATCCGGTGCGATAAATATGTTATTAGACACGCGAGTGGCTATCTCAACGTGTTTGCTTCCGGGTGTGATAGATTGCCGTTTCCGGTTTAAATCGCGGCTTGCTAGAACCGCAAATTGCGCTTTTTTCTTCGGCGAATTTCGAACGATTCTTAGATATCACAACGCGAATCCGGTGCTCGAGTGTTCTTGAAAACTACAGAAGCTGTCTCTGCACTATTTCGATAAAAAAATGACAAAAACTAAGACAACAATTTTTCCATTGAAGTTTTTACTCACACAAATTACTTAACAGTTAAAAAAATTACCTAAATCAATGTCTTTGTACAAAAATGCTGTATAGTGAAATTATACTTATAATTTTTAAGTACATAAATAGAAATATTAAAATTGCTGCTTTAGAGTATTTATTTATTTTAAAAAATGTATTTTAGATCTTTGATCAGTGTGGAAAATGTGCCAAAAATTTTATACAATCTTTTGGAAATTAATTAAAGTTGCTTGAAAGTACATATTTAGAATT